GTGTAGTTGTCTAAAGGACGTGCCCGTATCATTTCAAAATATGAGATGGACACACTTCTCTCAGAAAAAGGCTCACTCATCATCTACCTGGACAAGGTAAGACATCAGTCTTTCCTCCTGTCCCTTCTGCTCATTACCTTATATTTATCACTGTCTCACCTTTGCTTTCTGCAGGTTTCTCACAAGCAATCAGAAGAGATCACATTTAGGATCCATCAAACGATGAACGTGGGTGTCTTACAGCCAGCTGCTGTGTCTGTCTATGAGTATTATGACCGTAAGTAGCAAAGAAACATATGGTACTTTAATGTGTTTCAAGATTTTTCTTTGCTGCAATTATATGTCAGAGTAGATAACACTGTGGATAAGAAGGCATTGTTACATGTTCAGAGTATTTAATGTATATTTTCTGATGTATTACACTTACCACAACACAGTTTATCAAATATCTCTGTTGCAGAAAAACACTGTGTGAAATTCTACCATCCAGAGAGGAGAGCTGGACAGCTGATGCAGCTCTGTAGGAATGATGAATGTACATGTGCTGAAGGTAAAGAGGAAACTGTCTGAACATGGAAGCTTTAACGCTTAAATTTGTTACACCTGAAAATCATGAGGGTACAAATAAGGCTAACACTGTACATCCTAGAGATAAAGCGCTGATTACAGTGGGGTGGCTGTGGCTTAGAAGGTAGAGCAGGTCGTCTCCTAACCAAAGGGTTGGTGATTCAAGTCCCGGCTTCTCTAGTCCACATGTCAAAGTGTCCTAAGGCAAGACACTTAACCCTTGTGTTCTGTTAAGAATCCTAACGCCAAACTGCTCAAGCTTAGCCCCAAACTAACATCCACGACAACCAACTATGGCTGTCCTGAGGAGGTGGAGGAGGCAGAGCAGGCTTTATGGCAGCTGAAGGCCCCGATTCTGGTCCAGCTGGACTTCACTCACCAATTCATCATCGAGGTGCATGGATGAGACACCAGAGTGGGTGCAGTTTTGCCCCAAAGATCATGGAAGGACTGCAGCCTCCACCCATACACCGCCTTCTCCAGACACTTGAGCCTGGCAAAATGCAACTATGACATGGGGAATAGGGTGCTGCTGGCTGTAAAATTGGCCATGGAAGAGTGGCGCCACTTCCTGGAAGGAGCAGATCTACCATTTTTAGTATGGACGGATCATAAGAACCTGGCTTACCTCCAGTCAGGAAAATGGCCTACCCCCTGACAAGCATGTTGGGCCCTGTTTTTCGATAGGTTCAACTTTACACTGAACTTTCATCCTGGAACCTGCAATAAGAAGCCAAACGCATTCTCCCATCAGTTCAGTTCGGTACAAGAGGATCCAGGGGCAGAGACCATCCTTCCTCCTTCCTGTGTTGTAGCAGTGGTGACATGGAAGATCGTGGATGAGATCAAAAAGACCAAATGAGACAAACCTGATCCAGGTGGTGGCTCACATAAATGCCTTTTCATACCTGACATTATCAGATCCAGGGGTCACTCCCCTCGCTTCACCTGCCACCATGGAACCCATCACACCATCGTCAAGCTTAAATGCCACTTCAGGTGGCCGACTTGGAGGGAGATGCTCATGACTTTGTGAAGGCTTGACTGACCTGTGCCCAGGCACAAACCCCTCCACCAGTCTCCAGCAGGACTCCTACACCCTTTACCAGTTCCCAGTTGACCATGGTCTCACCTTGCCTTGGATTTCGTCACCAGACCTCCCACCTCTCAAGGCAACACTGTTATACTTACCATAGTTGACCGATTTTTCAAGGCAGCACATTTCGTGCTTCTTCCCAAGCTTCCTTCAGCCTGAGAAACAGTAGACCTCCTGACCCTACACGTTTTCTGGCTCCACAAGATCCCTTCAGACATTGTCCGACAGGGTTCCGCAGTTCGTGTCCCAGGTGTGGAGGGCTTTCTGTTTGGCTCTAGGTGCCAAGGTCAGCATGTCTCCAGGCTTGCACCCACAGACCAAAAGGCAGGTGGAACATGTAAATCGGGGATTAGAGACTGCCCTGCGGTTATTCTTGGCCTCCAACCATTTGGCCTGGAGCCTCCATTTACCTTGGGTCAAAAACGTGACACAACTCCCTAGTCAGCTCGGCCTCTGGATGTTCTCCATTCGAGGTTTCACTGGGCTATCAACCACTCTGATTCCCAGCAGAGGAGGCAGAGGTGGCAGTTCCTTCCATGCAGTCCCACATTTGTTGCTGTTGGCGAATCTGAAAAAAGACCAGAGCTGCTCTTTGCAGAACCGGTGCCTGGTGGACCTCCACCGATGCCCAGCACCAGCCTACATCCCTGGGCAAATGGTTTGGCACTCTTCTGAACAAATTCCATTGAAGGGGATGCCCAGAAAGATGACCCCACACTTTCTGCATCCTTTCGCCATCGACAGAGTTCTTCATCCCATGGCTGTCAGACTCCAGCTTCCCTCTCCCTCCAGGTCCACCCAACATTTCATGTTTTCCAGATCAAACCGATTTCCTCCAGCCCATTGTGCTCTCTGGCCGGGTCCCTGCCTTCCACCTGGTTGTGGATGGTGAGACAGCTGACTCCGTTCGCAGCCTCCTGGATGTCCACCATTAGGGTTGGGGCCTGCAATATCTGGTGGACTAGGAGGGTTGCCGTCCCAAGGAATGTTCTTGGGTTCCTTGTTCCTTTATCCTGGATCCTGATCTGGTGCGCAACTTCCACAGTACACACCCGGACAAGCCCAGTGGGTCACCTGGAGGCTCGTCGCGGGGGGATACTTCTGCCAGTGCTGTCTCTCCCTCACAATCAGGCAGGGAGGTTGAGCAGTTGGGCATGCCCAGGAACAAGCTGCACAGCTGTTCACAATTGGCTCATTAAGCATTACGCTATTTAACCCTGGTGTTGACGTCAACTTGTTGACAGTTTGTTCTGCATATCTGCCAGACCTGCACTGACTGAATTTCTCCCGAGTCTACTGACTATTCTGCCCTGTCTCCCTAGTTTTCCGGTTTTCTGCTCTCCTGCTCTGTTCCAGCGTTGCTCCTGAGTTGTCGCCAGCCCTGCGCCAACTCAGCTATCTTGTTCAGTCCAAGCACTGTGCCCAGGCTGTCACCAGGTACACCTACTCGGCCTCTTGTGTCACCCCAGCTGCCTTCTGTCTGCACCAGCTCAGCCATCCAGCTTCATCCCAGTGTCATACTTGAGCTGCCCCTGTCCACACCATCTCAGCTCTCCTGCCTCACTCCAGCATTGCACTCAAGCTGCCACCTGCCTTCACCAGCACTGCCTGCATTCCCCCCTCAGATGGCACACCAGCCCAGCACCAAATCAGCCTTCATCAGCACTGCCTTCGTCCTCTGCTCAGGCATCTCATCAGCCCCGCACCAGATCAGCTTCACTGCCCGACTCCATACCTGCAGTCCCTGCACCAGCCCAATTGGCCTGTCCCCTGCCTTGCTTTTCTGAGCAACCAACTCTTCATCCTAGCCAACAGTCACCCTCCAGCTAAGACTTGTCCTCATTACTTTGCCTGTAAAAATAAATCATTGTGTTTGTACCCTGAATCTGAGTTCTGCCTTTTGAGTCCTCTGCTCTGTCTTGGAATAAGGCCGATCAGCCTTAACATAAACAAAACTATACCCAAGCTAACAGCTTTGAAAAGTGTAGAGGTATATGATAATGATAACATAATAAAGAAAACATGCTCACAATGACAATGCTAACACACTGATGCTTGTTTTGAATTTCATGTATAATGTGGCCATTTAAGATGCGATTGTTGAATTTGGTTAACAAGCAGCAGCAGTCAGAGGTCGAGATTGATTTGTCATTATACTTAAAACCTAAAAGAAGCTTTAACTTTGATACTTCACTCATCCATCCACACACATTCCTATGTTCTCATTTGATCCGGTCACCAGTTGTGCATTTACTTTGTGCCTATTTTATCTTTCCAGAGAACTGCAGTATGCAGAAGAAGGGCAAAATCAGCAACGATGATCGCACAACTAAACTTTGTGAGAGCACACAGACCAGCAAAATAGATTATGGTAAGAGAGTGTATATGGACTGCATATATAGAGAGCTTTTATCTTAAAAAATATGTTTGTGTAAGTAAGAGAAAACTGAAAAAACAAGTAAGTGAGGTAACAATCTGTAACTTGTTTGTCTTCAGTGTACAAAGTGGCAGTGGAAGGTTTTACAGATGGGTTATCCACTGACATTTACACAGTGCGCGTACAGGACGTCATCAAGGAAGGTGAGTATTTATCTCCTCATAATTTTCAAAACTATTTGAACTGTCTAAACTTTACTACCCACTTATGTTTTATTGAAAGTCTTTCTAAAGTGCCGTAATATGACATACAAAACCTGTTCACTTGTAAGCTTAGAGGTACAGGTGTTCAGATTTTGTCTTTTGGACAGAGCCAGGCTAGCTGTTTACCCCTGTGAGCTGTTGCTGGCTCTAGCTTCATATTTACTCTACATGAGTGTGTTTTCAGGCAGCACGGTGGCACAGTGGTTAGCGCCGTTGCCTCACAGCGCAAAGGTTCCAGGTTCGGGACCTTTCTGTGTGGAGTTTGCATGTTCTCCCCGTGCTTGCGTGGGTTCTCTCCGGGTACTCCGGCTTCCTCCCACAGTCCAAAGACATGCAGTTTAGGTTGATTGGTGTCTCTAAATTGCCCATAGGAGTGCGTGTGTGTGGTTGTTGTTGTT